ACAATTTCATCCATAAATCGAACGCGTTCATCTGTTCGCAGAGCAGTTTTAAACCGAATCTTTGCCACCAATTTTCCGGCATAACCTACAATTGAATAAAAATTGATTTAAACCATTCGTAAAATCAAAATTATTTACTTTGCATGGGCATAAAGATGAAAAGAGTAGCAATTCCTATGATGGCAGCCCATCGCACTTCAGTCCATAAGATATATGTAGCTATAATTGATGTTATCGGTGATATCCATAACATATGTGCGGACAGTGATCCAAATCTTTGAATATCGTTTGAAAGCAAATTCACCAATTTTCCAGAAGATGTTTTACTTAAAGCACTTTGTGATAAACGAAGTATCTGTGAAAATTTTTCAAAGAAAAAGAATTGAAATATTTTCATAATTTCATATCTAGATTGCAGCGAATGGCTCATACCTTTCGGTAAATAAGACTTGAAAGAGCTATGCGAATTCTCATACTGTAATAAAAACTATTGAAATAAAAGTGCATAAAATCGACTCTACTGAAAACGTTGAAAGCGAACAGTGCGACTCCATAAATTATCGCATTGTCTCGTGATACTTCGGAATTTTCCCTGTGAATTGATTGAATTGATAATTATTCGCGATGAAATATATATAGATGTAAACTAGGGTACAAAGAATGTTAAAATTAACATAAAACAATACTTCACCGGTAGTAGCTAGTTTATGGTCGAAAATAACAACGAAATTTAATGTTTAGTCTACTCGTATAAGAAACATTTTGAAAAGTATTGTTATGTTTTATTTTTCATGCGACCTTCAATCGGGAGCTAAATTTTGAGTAATGTTTTTAAAATCGATGTACCCGAATGTATACCGTTATTGAGATACGAACCGAAAATATGACAAAAATCCTTTCAATAAAAATGGATATGTTAAGTTGCACACACACTCAGTGGAGAAGCAAAAAATTCCGACAATAATAACCTCGTACCAGAATGTTTTGAGTATTGACCTTATTAAAGATGGATGTGATTGTTTTTTTAGTTCTGTCTTCCATTTTCTGAAATTTAAGACATGATGAAGTGTTTTTATTTCAAATATATCTTTGAAAAAACAACCAAATATACTTTTCTAGTCGATCACCAAGTCTGTCGGACTGATCTAGTACAAGCGGTTCGAATGCATCGTTTGAGTCTAAGGCATCGTCTCGATAGCTTTGTTTAAAAATCGGTATGGTCCATCCAAAAAACAAAATTGATATCAAGCTCGCTGATTGACGTGGATTTTTTAATAATTTCCTGTACGCAGACTCCATTTTTATCTTTTAGCTATATAGTTTTAGTAAATTAACGCAATTCTAGTTTTTTCAAGGGAATGCTTTTAATTGAAGGTTTAAAAAAGGAAGAACAAATTACTAACTTGTCGCATTCGGGTACAAAAACTAACTGTATATAATGTTATGTGACGATAAATTTCAAAATTCAAAATAATCATAAGTTTGATTGAACACACATAAATAAGCGTAATCTCAGATTTTTTTTATCTGTACAAAGTGATTTTGTCATCATGTGTCTGTGTTTACTGTTAAGTGGAATTCAATGTATACAGATTTTGTCACCGTAAAAAATGTAGTTTTTGTATGGGAGCTATGATATCGTGAAACTTTTCACAGAAAATAATATTATGAAAATTTGAAAAAATTTCAATGCAAATTAGAGATACCTCCCATACTAAAATTTTTGAAATTTCTTCAAACTTGGAGCGATTATGTATTTTGGTAAGAAAAGATTCACAAGTTTCTGATGATTTATACTTAACATTTCATAACTCAAACTTTTATTATTTCAACGCGCGTCTTTACTAAACGTACAATTAGCTTGCTTAACTGAGTACGACTGACTTATATTGCCTTATGTCAGTCTTTTATACAGTTTTCTTGGCAAAAAACTATAAGATTCAAATTTAGTTGTCGAACTAATAGATTGGTCAATAAATTACGCATCTTTGGTTTCCTAATATGGTATTCCAAATCATGAATTCGGGTTATGCCTAAATTTGGTGCATGATAACGATAATGGCGTCCAAAATCAATATCAAGGCGACGTTGTGTCATTGCTCTCTATAAATGGGTTTGCTAATTAATGCATGATTTTATGTTGGTGTTACTTTTGAATTTTAAATTCAAACAGATAAACCAGCCGGGGAGCCGATGAGAAACTTGCCAGTTCTATTGGAAAGCCTGCCAAATTGACAAATTATCAAAATTTGACATTCTCATAGCATGTGTCTGGCTCCGTATTCTGTTTCGTGTTTTTGTAACTGACGCATGGTGTAAGTATCCCGGGTGAACGAAATGAATTACAGCTGAAATAAAATGAATTATAATTCGATTCAAATTCGAAATAAATTATAAAGACACTCCTAATTCAAATGAGGTGTCAAAGGCATTCACTGAAATGTATATAAGTTGAAGTAATTTCATGGACTTCATTAGTAAGTTATCAGCCAGTTTGACATTTATTTTGATAGATACTTCGAGAGAGAAAAACGAAAAATGTTGGGTCGAAATTGGTTTGCATTATTTTTGATTGGATTCGTGGTAAATCATTTTAAGTTTTTATATTTCTTTAATTTTCAAAAGAAGAAAGTCCATTCAAAATTTTCACTCGAGAAGGAGACAAAAAGAGCGTCTCAACTCGAAGAATGAATGGCAATCAAATATCAATTATTTCCACTTTGGTCTTTTGTTCACAGCTCTTGATTGCCAATGTCCATGGTGTCGAGAGGAAGCAGGGGGAGAAAAAATCCCATTTGGCCAAGCAAATTCATGCCGAAGTATGTGAAAATTCTATGAGAAAACTTACGAGAACTTTATGACGCAATAATTTTTCTTCACAGAATGTGATTGGCAACTTCGATAACCTATTCACTCAAGGCAATGTTTTGAAAAAGCAGAAGAAGGCAGGTGGAAGCAAAACATCATCTCCAAAGGCATTAAATGTGCAACCAGAGAACCTTTCATTTAAAGAAAAGTTTAGAATGTTCGAAGAGAACCAATGAGCTGTTAACAGGAGAAACAAACACCATCAAATTGATAATACGCTCATATTTTAACGTAAAAGATTGAATAAATTTGAGATCTTCCATTGAAGTAAAATGAGTTTTAATTTATCTTGCACATTGTTAGGAGATGAACTTCATGTGATGAAGACTTTGTTTAGTTCAAAAAAGTTTCCATAATCGAAGGAATGAAAAAATTTAAATAGGTTAAGAAATTTTTTCTTGTTTGCGACTATAGAAATGCACTCAAATTTCCAGTCATTCAGTTCAACATTTTTCTAGTTAATATACCAAAATTTGGTAACCAAATATGTCTCATAATTAAAATTGAAAACGAATGTGTTTTATAAAATGATGCGAATTAATAATGAGTTAATATAAAACAAATACATTTCTAAATACATGGAAAAGTAAAAGCATATATAAGACAAGTGAGTTTAGTTAAAAACGATCAGTCATTGATTGAACATTTCTTTTGTGAAAAATAATTCAAACCGCAAAATACATACACAATGTTGAATCGAACATTTTTCGCAATTTTATTGATGGGGCTTATGGTGTCCGAGGTAAAGCTTAAATTCAGTATGACTTAGTATTTAAAATTTCACAATTTCAATTTTATTTTCACAGTTCTTGGCAGTTGACATCAATGGAGAACCAAATCCATCTGAAAAGAAGAGCGGATCTACTTCAGTAAAAGATAGAATCAACGCGATTGAGGAATGTATAAATGCGGTTCCAGAAAATCCGCTTGAGTACAAAGGTAGAAGAGCACCATCGTATTTAGTTTCGGATCTATTTGGATTCAAAACGAACAAAAAATTCTTCGAAGAGTTAGAAAGAAATCCTAGTTCTTCCAAAAAGAACGCAAAACCATCATCGAAATGAAATGAGGTGTCCATAGCCACAAGTCTTATAATCTACGTAACAACACGATTTCTTTCTGTATTGGAAGAAGCAAATTTTCCCATGTGAAACACACTTCAAAATAATTGTATTATCGAGGAGAATTCAAATAAATTACTCTGCATTATCAATAACGTAGAAATAAGTTTTAATTTTTGTTCTAAAAATTTAGTGTACGGAAAATAATTTTTTTTGAAAAGTAAATTCAGTTAACATCACGGCAAAAGATATACGAATGAATTATTTATTTTAAATTCCAGCTTATTTCAGTTGGTGGCGAATGCGTCATGTTTTGCAAATTACGAAAGCCCAGAAAATTATCAAAATTATACTTTCCCTTTCTAGAGTATTTTGGCCGCGTAATGTAGAAAATGTATAGGTAAACAGACAGGAGTGGATGGAGAAATACCGCCCCTGAGAGATCAAATGTGAATTACCCCTTTACAGAATAAGTGTTCATTACCCCCATCGTTCCCTCGTGTTTTTTTCAGACTGCTACCTATGTAATTATATCTTTGACGTCAAAAAACGCGTAATTATCATTATAATTCAGAAAATATTCGATTTGATGAAATTCACCTTGATAAAACACGTGTACACACTTTTTTACTTTTCGTCAGTGAATTTTAGTCACCTTTTGTCACCATCAATATCATTAATATTGAAAATATTATAATTTATATTCTCCGAACTTATAAATTTAAATGACTTGCAAATATATTCTATGCCACACTTAAGATTGTATATAAATGATGTCATGTAGAAAAATTCATTAGTAAGTAATTAATTGTGAAAAAAAGTTGTACTCAGCCTGCGTAACTCAGGCATTATCGAACTGAAAAATATATCGTATCATTTACTTTTCAAATAAAACGACCAAAGATGGTGGATCGACGATGTTTTACATTGTTATTGGTTGGGTTCGTCATTTGTGATGTAAATATGGAATAATCCATTCCGATTATGTGGTTAATTAAATGGTTCTCTTTTCTAATGCAACCTTTCAGCTCTTCGTTGTAAATGTCATCGGTGTTGATACTGAACAAAAGAAGAAAAGTGAAAAAAAGTCGAAAAAAGGTTTCTACTTCTCCGCTCAATGTGGATTTGGTTGTGGTAAAAATAATGAAGCTATGGAGCCTGTACCTCTATCGCAAATAAGATCATCGCCATCAACACCATCGGCGCTTTCACGTGCCTCTTTACTGAAAGTATCCGAGAAAGATAAGAATTTATTGTTCCCTTTGCCACGTCCATCGAAACCATTACCAGAACCACAATTACCGTCATCTTCGCACTTAACGCAAACACATAAACAATTCGCTCAAACCAGTGCAAATCCAAATTCGATGCCATCGAATTTCAAACAAGAATCATCATTACCATCATCGGCATCGATCGCAGTACCACGTAAACAATTTACTGAAACCAGTCCAAATCCAGGCTCATCGGCTTTCAAACAAGTGGAAAGCCAACCTTTTGCAAAGGGCAGTGGTCAACAATTACCACCACAAAGATCAGCTCTACCACTTCCACCACTTCCACCTCTTCCACCAAGTGCAAATGCCAAAAAATCACATAAAATTGCACCAAGCCGTTTTAAAGACCCGTCGTCCCTCGTGTCGCAAAGAGTTCAACAGGTTGAGGATCGCATAAAAATGAATATAAATCCATTGCTGGTGCCAGTGCCTTTGAATCCACCAAAAAACAATCTTGGCAGGCCGAAACCAAATCACTTCGATGTACCACGAGTACCAGATGAAAATGGACAAATTTTATAAACATTTATACATCCTTTTCTTGCGTTTTCGAACAAAACGCTTCAAATTAGATTCTCAGACACTTATCTATCGCTCCAAAACTCCAAAATTAAATGAACGTGTAAAATTGTATTTCTGAAAATAAAAGGTTATTGAACTTTCCGGGAGAAAAACGAGTTATTTCAATCAATTTCAGATTATTTCACCAACAACATAAAAATATTTTCTCCGATGGAAATCGCTTCGAATTGACGGAGTTTGAATGTTTTTTTCAAATTCATTCGGTTTTAATCGATTTGGTTTATTACCACTTTTCAGATTTACGAAATTTTTTTTAGCTCAACAATCTTGAGTTCAATAATCAATAATCGCGATAAGCAACACACGATACTCATCAATTGGAATTATCATCAGATTTTTTGAAAGCAATTATCGAATAAGCGGGAACAAAAAAATCGACTTGAATCGTATGTATTAGGTGACGTGAAATTGGTGCTTGAATTATGTAATTGGTTTCATTGCGTGTCAGTAAAAAATTAACAAGTAATTCGGTTCGACGCCGTCTTCTAATTTCATGTTAGCTTTTAAAAGTGTGTGATAAACAAGTCTAAGGGTCATAGCTGTGATGATTCAATAAATCAATAATCGGGTGAACACTGATAAAGCTTCTATAGTCTATGCTACAGACATTGTGCCGTAAACTGGTCACATACGCATTTCGATAACATCAACAAAACGATTCAATAATTTATGATGACGAAATCAACTTCGGTTGGACATTTATTGAAGCGTTCGTTATCAAAATTCGGTGTCTATCAGCTGTCGCCCACGCATGGCGCCATTGTGACTCGCTAAAACGACCTGTTTACGGATGGTACAGTACGTTCTTTGTGAATGCATCACTAGGGTGGAGTGTTTGCTCTTTTTTCATCGAATACATCGTGGAGATGCGGCATATGATAGAGGACATCAATAAACCACTTTTGTTTGACTTTGACCCACCCTATTATATCACATTTTTTAAGTTGTGGGATATGCTTTGACGTCTGCGCGTTTGGTGGAATTGCAGAAGGAGAAGTTATATCTCACTGTGTACCGAGGCTAGTGAAATATAAAAGTTTTTGCGCTGTTCTGATTTGGCACACACGACGTGTGTCATCGAGTCATCAGTACATATACAAATACGATAAAGGAATAATCAGCATTTCAACAAAAATCACCGATTACCAACAAAATTGAATCGATTAAAATTTGGATTTTTTTTCTAAATTTTGGATATTTTTTTTTTGAAAAACCATGACGAAGGACAGATTTGCAGCGCTCGTTGCGGTACGTATTCAACATTTTTTATACTCTTCACCCTTTTGTTTCAACGGAGAATTTGTGACACTCATTAATTGTGACAGCGTTTTATGTTATTCGAAAATTAAGTGTGATTGACCAAAATAAATGGACAAAATTCACGAATGAATTTTAAAGTGTTTTTAAGTGTATTCGTTTTGATTTTCATTCAATCATTTGATTGTCTGATTTTCGTGTTCACTTATTCAAAGGAGTTGTTTATATTACATTGCCATTGAGATTTGTAAACCGGTTTGATTTGCAACGCTTAGAAATATGACCGCAAATTTCGAAAGCATTCTACATCGCTCGTTATATGATGGATTTTGGCTTTTATTAACGGTTAAAGAAAAATACATGTTTTACCATTTGGATTTTTTATGGATTTTTTCTTGTTGATGATAAATGCGCGGATGTTTTCTTGTGCACTTCAAGTGTCAACAGCATAGCTGGGCAGACAGGGGGGGAGGGGGGGATTACCCCCTCCTGAGGCATCAAATTTTTGCGTTACCCCTTTACAAAATTCATGATTTTGGATAGAATTTTTCTCATTTTGCTAGGGTTTTTGGATCATAGATGAAATTTTCCTATTTTGCTAGGAGTTTTTGAGAAAATTACCCCCCCAATCCCCCCCCCTGAATTGTTCAGTCTGCCCAGCTATGGTCAACAGCGATATGAGATTTTCATTTCATGCTACATTAGTAGTATTTGAATAATAAGAAAAAGAGCAAATGATCAATATTTTCGGTTTGACATGATCTATGATATAAGACCGTGTAAGATTCACTTTCTCTCTCTATCTTCGCCTCCATCTCATTTACACGCCCGAAATGAAGCGATCAAACAAAGAGGCACACATACACAATAGCACACAATGAAAATTGGTTTACGTACCACATATAAACTGTATTTATCGCGTAATCTGCGTGACGTAATGATTTTTATCGACCTATCAAGACAAATATTGGAGAGAGAATAAAAAAACTTCTAAAAGCACGAATCATCCGACACATTCAAGTGGCGTGTGAACAAAACAATCGATTCATACACCCTCAAGTCTCAAGAGAAGCTAACACAGAATCGTACGCGATGATTCTTATTTTCTATTGGAAATTGTTTTTGGAATTGCATTCATTGAAATCGACAGAAAAACATACAAATGCGTTTAAAATTTGAAGCAAAATTTTGTATCATTCGAACAATCTCAATAAACATGGCAACAGAAATTTGGACCAGATCTGTTTAATACTCGAAGAACAAATGAGACATAATGTCACTGATATACATATGGGTGCGTGGGCGAGATGAATGAAATGTAAAAGATGTTCGTTTTTCAACCAGAAACGCGACGCACATTCTCAATCGCATAACGATTATTAACAAACATTTCAATATCTGATGCAGTTTAGCCGGTTTTTTAAGTTCTAGTGATTTGTTATGCACAATTTTATATTCAGAATGATGGACGATTCCAATCGTATAATGGTTCAGTTTTTGTGGTTTGTTAGCTCCGCACAAAACAAAGCTTTTATTCAAGTACGGTCACGACACCATGACTCTTTGATGATGGTTCGAAGTCATAGTTTGACCTTGTCAAGTGACTCATTCAAGTGATTCATGAAAATTTGCCCATAGAAAAGAACCGTGAAACAATTTAGAAAAACTTCTCTTGCAAAGAATTCTTTATGAACGTATATATTTTAGGAATGTTGATACATTTGTACAGCATCGCATATCCTATCTATGTATCACACTGAATTCTATGTAATAGATGTATAGCGTACACACATTAAAATGATTGGCTTAAAAAGTCAGAAAGAATGTGCGTTCGATTTTGCTTCAATGTGTGTATCATAAGCACATAAAAATATCAAATAGATAATGTATATCGGCTGTCTAGCCATTCTTGACATGAAAATGTATGTCGGCGACGACAATATTCTCTTTGTTCTACAAGACTTTGTTTGTGTCGTTTGAATAATTTATCGTCAAGCAATGTTGATTTTTTTCCCATTTTATGCAAAACTTTTGTTTTCTTCATTCATTTCAACATCTGAAAATGATACATTTTTGGTATCCTTAATTATTCTAAAAATCCATTACTTAAAAGGATTTGATTTAGTCTCTAGGGCAAACACAATCACATTTCTATCCATTCAGAATCGAATTGAGATAAAATCAACTTTGAATGAATGGCGGACTCTACACGAAAAGTCGGGTTTTATTCTGATTTCGTGAACCCTGTTAAAAATGGTCGTAACATTCTTCATTTTATTTTGGAAATTAATTTAACCGAATTTTGTAATGTTTTTATACCTTTGATATAACTATGTACAGGCACAAAGCGATGAGAATATTGTTGCGCTGGACGATGTTGAAGGACGTGACGGCTTCATGGACGAGTTCTTCAACGAAGTAGAAGAGATAAGGGAAATGATAGACAAAATAGAAGCAAATGTCGAAGAAGTGAAGAAAACTCACAGTGCCATCCTTTCGTCACCTCAAACAGATGAGAGTAAGACATGGCGATATTTATTGCAATTTCTAATTTAAAAAAACGAATGATTCAATTTTTATTTATTTATTTTTTATATTCGATGCTTAAATTTATTTAGAAACAAAGCAAGAGCTTGAAGATCTGATAGACGATGTCAAGAAATTTTCCAACAAAGTTCGTACAAAACTTAAGGGTATTGAACAAAACATCGAACAAGAAAAATTTAGGATTATTAAACAAGAAGAACTTAAATTCGGTGCTGATATACGAATACGACAGACACAACACTCAACCTTATTAAGAAAATTTGTCGAGGTGATGACAGAATATAATAGAACCCAAATCGATTACAAAGAAGGGTGCAAAGCCAGAATAAAACGTCAATTAGAAATCAGTAAGTGCAATATTGTAATGATCAGTTAAATAGCCGGCAACAGCATCAATATTGAATGTAATGTTTCTATTTGTTTTCTTCATGATTTGATTGATAAGCTGGTAGAACGACGACAGATGAAGAATTAGAACTAATGTTGGACCAGCCAGATCCGGCCGTTTTCACACAAGGCGTAAGTGCTTAATTCCCAATCATATACGGGAAGAGAAAAGAAACTCTTCAATATCTCCATTCCATTTCGTGTTTCGTTTTTTTTTTCTCTTTTCATCTCCATTCAAATTTGCAACAGATTATCATGGATACACATCAAGCCAAACAAACATTTGCCGACATTGAAGCCCGGCATGCCGATATCATCAAATTGGAAAGTTCGATAAGAGAATTGCACGATATGTTCATGAATATGGCTATGTTGGTCGAAAGTCAAGTAATGTTCTAATTTTTAAATTTATTGTATCTTGCTTTCAATTAACCAGAAGGGCATAAGAAAAAAACATATCGTGAAATTGATTGTATGAACAAACTGATTTAATCATCATTATTCAATTTCAATTAATTTCCAAACGTTAGAAGAAGAAGAAAATCTCATGCTCTTCTCCTCTCTCTCTCTCTTTCTTTCTCTGTTATTTTAATCCATTTTCAATACGCTCACTTTACCAAATAACTGATTCAAATAAACAAATGTGTGCAGGGTGAAATGATTAATCGCATAGAATACCATGTTGAAATGGCTTACGACTATGTGGATGAAGGAACGAAAGATGTCAATAAAGCGATTATATATGAGAGAAAAGCTCGTCAGGTGAGTAAATTTGAGAATACATACCATATTTCTTGTGTTTGAAATGCTTTCACTGTAGTAATAATTTAAACTTTTTTTTTGTGCAAGACATGTGACATATCAGGCGTTGTGGAGGGGCCCGAGTGTAGTCAAGCCTCATACTTCGTTTTGATAACTTTGCTCATTTAAGAAAAAAAATGACTTGATAGGTCACCTCTACGAGTCCATTTTGGAGTCAATATTTTGTTGATTCAAATGTGCTGAAAATAAAGGTTTTTTGGCATGCTGAAGCCGAATTTTTGGTTTTCACGTCAAAAAAATCGGGGGTTGAGGGGTTATGACCCCCGACCCCCCTAAGGGGTTGGGGGAGTTGGAGGGCAGCTGACCCAAAAAATTTCTCTCATCATTCTGAACAACTTTGTAGAACATAATTTTTTGATCCGATGATAAAATCGACATCAACAAAAAAAAATTGGAAAAAAAATAAGTAAACGACCATTTTTGCCAGTTTTTGTATAGAAATCGTATCAAAACGTTACTAAATCGCAAAATTAACGTCAGTCTCGGCTTTCTGGTGCCTGAGAACCCCTATATACCAATTTTCAGCATATTTGAATCAACAAAATATTGACTCCAAAATGGACTCATAGAGGTGACCTATCAAGTCATTTTTTTTTCTTAAATGAGCAAAGTTTTCAAAACGAAGTATGAGGCTTGACTATACTCGGGCCCCTCTACAACGCCTGATATGTCACATGTCTTGCACAAAATTACGTTACTACAGTGATTTTTTAAAAAAATGTCTGTGTTGGTTATTTTGTTTTCGGTTAATATATCCTCACTTATAATATTGGCATTTTCCTCTTGTATCCCCCATTTTAATTGATTTATTACTTTTCCGCACACCCACTGTGTGCAGTAAAGTATTGCAATCACCCCAAAATTTTAAAATCGCTAAAAATCGTTTTTCTATGCGTTTTGGGTATAGAAAATCACAGAGCAACGATTTTTTGGCCTTGTTTATCTGGGGATGTGGTACACTGTACCCTGTATGGTGTACGCAAAAAATCAATAGGTAATTGTTAGCACGATAACTCTCCTTAGAGAAAAGCAAATCCAAATCTGATTTTACAGGGTGATTGGGGTTTGCGAGGAATAGGCTGGTATTGTTTTTCAGCGATATTCGTGCATTTGTGTATCCATGGTGACACCATGATGGAGTATGAGGGGTATGGTATGCAAAAATTTGTTAACTTGATAAATTTTTCCTCAGAGACGTAAATTAAAGTTTGAAATGTGTACTGGGGGATTTTTTTGCACGAGAAACCCGAATCCGATGTTAATTTTGAGATACAATCAAGTTTTAACAGAGTTTCTTTGAAAAAAATCGCGAAAAAATGAATTTTTGTATGGGAGCCAAGCTTTTATGCAACCCTAATGACGTGAAACTTTGCACAGGCTATTTTTTATACAAAAAAATGACATTCTGAAAGTTTGAAGAAATTTCAATCAAAATTAGGGGTACCTCCCATACACACTTTTCGTTTTTGAGACTTTTATTTGAAAAGTTAATAAGATTCACAAGTTTTAGGGTGATTTTATGTAGTTGGAGTGTTTTTGTTGACTCGAAATTGATCGCATTTCTTTCCACAATTAAAACTTGTAGATCTCATTTCTCATCAAAATACATAATTTCACCAAATTGGAAGAAATTTCAATCACAAATAGAAGTACTCCCCATACAACATTTTCTTCAGGATGGAGGTATTTTCAATTTGTATTAAAATTGCCTCAAAAAAATCACATTTTTGGTGATTTTTTCTTTCCGTACAATAGACACGCTACACATTTTGAAATATTTATACTTTATTAATTGGCCAAAAAACTTGACTGCTCTTAGACAATATAATTCGGTAGTTATTGAATTAGTACTGCACTACCAGTTCGGTGAAGGAAGAAATTTGGAAACAGTGCGGAAAAGTTAGACTTACGGATGTAAGTTCCTTTTTATTTATATATATAATGGTATTGTACTAGGCCATAAAACTAAAGTCACCCCAAAAAATGTTTTCTATGCAAACACGATTATAGGCGATTTTGGCGCATATTAATGTTACATGCTATTGTCCAGTGTGTCCTGTGTCCTGTTGCCAAAATGTTCATATTATGCATGATAGTTCATCTCACAGAAAATATATTCAAAATATGATTCTACTGGATGATTGGAGACTGCGAGGAGTACATCTGGTCAAATCTTGAACGGTGTTAAGTGGGGAGCCATATGGGTGTCCATTGAAAATACCACTTTTACCACGATAAATCTTTCCACAGAGACGTAATTCAAAATCTGACCTTACGAGTCAATTTTTCTGCGACATTGGTTGATCGGGTAATAACCGAATAATATATGGAATCTGAAATGTTTGATTTGCATTCGCCACTTATGGAAACGTAACATGTTAATGTGGCGCTGTAAACAATGTGTTCTTCCAAACGTCAAAACATCATAAATTCGGCACAGGCCTTTCTAAAAGAATTTTCATACTAAAATCCCCTAAACATTCGATTTTTGAATAGAATCCATGTATTTATGGTATCATAATAACGTGAAACGTTGCACGATGGAATGTCAAGATTTTTTGATGATACATTTAAACCAAAAACATCATATTCAGGCTAGCGTCTTGCTTGATAGAAGTTTGATTAACAAAGCTTCTGTTGTTATTGATCTGATTTATTTGCCTACCAAATTTAATAATTGAATTTTTAATTTTTCTTTTTTTTCATATACATACATATTTTTTTATCACGATTAAATCAATTGGTTGGATGGCGTAAAAAATAGAAAAAGATTTGTATTTTGATCTGTATCATCTTTGTCGTGATCATCGTGGTGGTCGCTGTTTTTTGCTAGACATGCTAAACACTGTGATTGCATCTACATTTACAATAAACACACCATACAGATACAATAAATTTGGTAATTAGTGACACATTCACATCAATATAGATAAGATGCATATACGTGCGTCAAAAGAAAAATTGAAGAAACGGGTCATTCTGATGCCAACTTTCATACAAACAACATTTAATAATAAATAAAGCAGTTTAAAAACAAATAAGTGTTTTTGATTTAATATAAGAAGTTAATCTAAGTTCTCATCCAGTGGTACAGTAACTTACATACACGAAATAACTAATTAATTAATTTTACGAATGCGTGATTACCATATGTGGGCGTGATCGCCATAATAATCGTTCCAGTCTCATCAACATATAACAAATAAACATCATTAGAACATATACATCCATACTCTTCGTTGTTCCGTTCCATCATATTCATATTCTCAAACATATAAACTTCCGAATACAGAACGAAAGAGCACAATTTAAAAGATTTTGGAATGAACATAAAAAGATGCGGAAAAGTTATTACAACATACATTTCAAGTACATTTCTTAACTTATGTGATCGGTTCAGCGAAAAATCACCTATTTATCAATGATAACAAAAAAAAAAAAACAAATCAAAAACAAACCTTCACCATTTGAAGTGCCTGCGTTGTAAGCATGGTCCAAACATTCTGCATGTGCGTCGCGAGATTTAAAACAAACAAATGAATAAAGCAATACAAAAAATATTTTAAACTTAGCAAAACTTAGAAATAAATTGGTTTGTCTCAAAAAATTAACTTTTTGATAATGTACTGTCATGCTATTCATCAACAAAAAACAAAATGAAAATTTAATTTAATAATTATATTTTAAAGTCAATCTTAATCTAATTTTTAGTCAATCTTTATTAAAACGGAAAAATTGATCCAATCAAACAACAAATATAAAGTACCATTTATTGAATTAAATCACAGCAATGAAATCCCTACTAAAGAGCTAGATAGTAGAGACAGTGGTGATGGAATTTTTAAATTTATTTGAACGACGAAATGTTACTATACTTGTCCAATATAACGTACATGTAACAAAATAAACACACACTCCATGTCCATAATGTCGATAGTGGACATAAATGATTTGAAGAATACTTGCAACCGTCAATGTGTACTAGATCGAATTTGCAAACATTCGATGAAAATGACTTACAAAGTGTGTTTCAAAATACTATTTTTTGACGTTAAAAATACGTGTTATTGTTGTTGTCGTTTCATTGCTGTGAATTAAATATAAGTTATCATTATGTATTTAAACAAAAATAATCAAATAAAAAACAAACGAAACAACAACACAATTATAAATTTTATCATTAATGTAGAGATTTAGACGATATTTATTAGTGATTAAACATTCGAATAAAACACTACTAAAGTAAGCACTCAAAAAAATCTACGACAATAACACACTAATATATGTATTTTATAGAAATATATTCAACTCTTATATCAGCAGAACCTTGCAAATGGCATACATGAGCCGCTTGAACAGGACAAGCTCAGAATGTCGTTGACAAGAAATATTGATTAAAAAGAAGAAAGTGATAACCAATTATAAAATTGAATAAAACTAATAATACACCGCCAATAAAAAAGTAATATAATAAAAAGTATCTAAAGTTTTCTTTCACAATTTTGAATCAATAAAATTCTCATTCAAGTATTTAATTGTTTCTTTAACACATAAACATGTGACGTTTCCATAAGTGGTGAATGTAAATCAAAACATTTTGCGTTTATAATATTTTTGTACATTGAATTTGGTTTGTTACTTTTCATTAGTGTATTTCATCAAAAATGCCAATTTAAACGCTGAAGGAATGTGTAGTGGGAGTTTTTTGACATGTGGAAACCAAATTTAATGTTAGTTTTCAGATACAAATGATAACAGACCTTTCAGATTTACGAAAGATTACTTCGCTCAAGAGTCTTGAATTCGATAATGATCGCGATAAACAACACACGACACTGAATTTCTCATGATTTGGAATTATCATCAGTTGTTTGTTTGAAAGCAATTATTGAATAAGCGGGAACATCGACTCGAATCGCATGTATTTGGTGACGTGAAATTTATGCTTGAATTATGTAATTGGTTTCATTGCGTGCCAATAAAAATGGTACAAACAATTCTTCTAATTTCATGTTCGCTTTGTAAAGTGTGTGATAAACAAGTCTGGGTCATATGCTACAGATATTGTTCCGTGAACTGGTCCCATACGCATTTCAATAACATCAACAAAACTATTCAACAATTTAACTATGATGACGAAATCAGCTGAACATTTATTGAAACGTATTAATAAAGTTATTATTGTCCTTTCACGCTTAGAGAGACAAGTCCGCCGTCAAATAAATAAATAATATTTACAGTGTAAAACTGTGGTGATAACGTATGTATTTCCAAATTGAACTTATCGCTGTAGCATACTGAAATCAACGCTTAAATGAACGTTCGTTATCAACATTCGGTGTCTATCAGCTATCGTTCACGCATGGCGCCATTGTGACTTACTAAAACGACCTGTTTAGAGATGTAATTTAGAAATTAAACGTTGTTTATAGTTATGACACGCAATTTTAATTTCCAGAAATATTCCTATTAAAAACGAAAGTCAATAATTGAAAAACGCTCTAGGATGGATACATAAAACAAAGGCAAGTACTGATAAGCGTTTTACTGAGAGAAATCGAAATTGCTTTATTGCTATTAATTCCTCTCTTGGGGGAATGTTTTTTCTTATTTATTTATTTTTTTCGTTGCTTGAAATATACAGCGATCTACCCACTGGCGGAGGAAGAACAATGTTGAACATTAAACCTCGACTTGAGCAAGTTATGCTCGAGGAGAAATTGATTTAACTGAATTTTATTCAGAAAGAACTGAATTTAAATGTGGATTATTATAAAAATAATCATAGCTTCACACTTCGAGGCTGGTTTTCTCAGTTTTTGTTGAAATCATACAAATATTAAATTGAAACCGTTTTTAATTGAAGGTAAAATAAAAGTGGCATTTAATTGAATACAATCAATGCTTAGATATCATATCATTTTACTTTAAAAGTGGAAGCATGTGTGTTATCTATATTTTGATAAGGCATATCAGTTATTGTGACAATTTATGTGAATAATGTATGGAATCACATTGGACAGAAAGACATTTTCCTTTAAATTGAAAAGACCAGTTTCAATTACTTTAAAATTCATCAATTTTGATAAAGGTGAATTTGAATGGAAAATCGTCTTGTATTGAACGAATCGTCATTTTGGAAACAA